GCAGCGAGCGAGGCGGCCGGCTCCCCAGGGACGCTCGTGGCCGAGGCTGGGCACCGCGGGGCGCCCGCCCGGRGCCCGGCTCCGCTCTGTGCCCCGGGTGAAGCTTCTGGAAGGAGCAGCCGCGCCTGTCCCCGCAGGGAAGCGCGGCCGGAGCCTCGGGAGGTGGTTGGGGCCACCGGGACCATCCCGGCCTCTCGCGCAGGCAGCCGGGCACAGCGTGGGACTGGGGTGCTCTGCCCTGGGCTCGCGTTAGCGTTGGGAAGAGTTTCTACACGGGAAGAGAGGCCGGGCATTGGAAGGGGCTGCGCAGGGCAGTGCTGGAGTCACCGTCCCTGGCCGTGCCCTGGGCATGGGTGGGAGAGGCGGCCGGGGACGCGGTGCTGAGGCCGTGGGGAGCGGGTGCTGAGAGTCTCCGCTTGCGCTCCGTGGGCGTGGAGGTCYTTTCCAGCCGCAGGGACCCTGATCCTGCGGCCCCGCTGGGCAGGCAGGACCAGCGCCTTGGGCCCTGGGCSGGCACCGGTGGCCTCTGGCGCCGCAGCCCACCTGGGCACGGCTGGGAAGGGCCGCCTCCCAGCTCCGCACCTGCAACGGAGATGCACTCATCAGGGAGCCACGGAGGGTGTGAGCAGCTCTGAGGGGTCCAGAAGCACCCTCGTGCTTCAAGCCACCACGATAGTCGCAGCGGTCAGGTTATTTAGCGGCGTTTTCCTCGGACCTTTCACCCTGAGCAGGCCTTGCTGAGAGGAAAGGGCCTGAGCTTGCGCGGTCGGTGCTGTTTAGAGCTGAGCTGTGCCCTGTGCCCTGCGTCGTGTGTGTGTGGGGTGAGCAGGGCTGTCCCCTGCCCTCGCTGCCCGCGYGCCCTGCGGCGCYGCACCGTCCTTGTGAGAGGCCTTGGGCTGCGGGGCCGGGAGCCGCCCGCCAGCCTGGCCCTGCGCTCCCGCCGCAGAAGGCCGCGTGGCTCCAGCGCGGAGAGGAGAGGGCAGGGACCGTCAGGGGAGCGCGAGGAGGTGTCTCCTGGAGGGAGCAGAGCCTTCCTCAGCATGCGCATCCCCGTGCGGCCTCGCACGTGGCCAGCAGCGATTCCAGTCGGGAGGCGGCACGGAGGGAGATACCCCYGTGCAGCCCCGGGGCGACCCGCGGGCTCCCTGTGCTGCTGGAGCTCAGCTGCTCGCCGGCATGGGGGCATCGCTGTGGGTGCGGAGGGGCGGCCGGCGCTGCCACGGGAGGGCTGGGAACGGCTGGAGGAGTCGGGTGAGCGGCATCATGCGGAGGAGTTTCCAAGAGCCTCAGCAGCTCCCATCTTGGACTGAACGGCTGTGCACGCAGGACGTGGTTCCTTGCCTCCTGTGTTCAGAGGGACCTACATCTGCTTAGGACTTTGTTACTCCATGAAGGGCAGGGAGCTCAGTGTGGAGGTTGTCCCGCATCACACAGGGGCTCACTCGTGCAAGAGCCCCCGAGCTCTCCTTGGCACCTTCTCTCTCGGATCTCCCCGTTGATGGAGCTTGCTCTGACCCAACATTGAACACGCTTAGGGTGGGATACCAGATGCAGTTACTTGGATTGGGATGGGATTTTTTTGTGTTACTGACAAATGGAAAGCTCRTTGTGTTGCTGATGCTTGCACAAACATTAATTCTGTAATGCTGTCTGTTGTGGGTGGCTTAGTGCTGCTATGGTGATGTGTTTTCTTAAAACATGACTCTTCAACGCTCTGAGCGTTGTGCGTCCAGCTCCTGCTTGTGTCCCCTCAGGCAAACCTCCAGGGTGGCAGGAGGGACTGCTGAGCATGTGGGTGTTGGTCGGTCGGTGCTTTTGGTCTTTTCCCCATGGCCTCCGTCTCCTTTCACAGAGGAGGGTAATGGCACCAAGCCGGGCCACCACCTTGTCCCTTCCACTGGCTTTTCACTGGCGCTGGTTGAGAACTACAGCGGTGGCTTCAATCCTTGTGTCCTGTAATGGAGCTAACTTCTATAAAGCGTGAAGGAGGGATTGGGCTCTGTTGTTGGTTCTGCCACAGAGTTTGGTGGTCACCTGGTTTTGTGAGGGCTTCTTTTACAGCCCCCCGCCAAAAATCAGACTGCAGTCATGGTGGGGAGCTGAGTTCCTTTAAACCATGTGAAGTCATGAGGAAGGTCCGTGTTTGGGTGCACTGTTGTTGTCATCTTGTCATCATTGGTCATTTCCCCCCACTGCTTTTTTTTTTTTTTTTTTTTTTAAATTATGGGGAATGGCAACAATTGCACAGAGTTTTTGCTTGTTTAATGTTCTCCTTCCTCCCCGGACAGAAACTATAACTCTTCCTGTCGATTCCCTCCAAATGCTCTCGCTTCCTTTTGCTTTCTCCTGCTATTTGCTCCCTGCTGCTTCCCGAGCCCTTCCATACTCCTGTCTCCCTGGCCACGATGGGTGGAGCCTGAGCTCCGCATGTGATGTGATGTGATGATGAGCAAATGGGAGGAATACTCCCCAGAGCCCTGGCCCAGCCACCCTGCACGCGCTATCAGCAGCAGGATGGTGTGGGGACATTAGCAGGACCATGGGGGGACATGGCTAGAGCGCCAGCCCCCTCTCTGCCTGCGCTCGCCTGCCCCTCCTGGCAGTCATGGTTGCCTCAAATGCTCCTCGTGAGGTGTCTCCTGGGCTCTTCAGTGGGTTTGGCCCATAGGCAGCACAGTGTTGGGTTAAGAGAAAAGCTGGGGGAGAAGGAAGGCCCAAACTTGCAAAAAGGATACTTGCCTGGAAGGGTTTCCTTACCTGTCCCTGCTACATGATGCATTGTGCTGTTATATAGACACATACTTTGTCTGCATTTGTTTATTTTGTCATGGCCTTCCATAGGCATAGAAAGCCCTGTGAGAAGACAAGTAATTTGGAGCAGCAGTCTGGGACCCTTCTGCTGCCCCGTTTTCTGGAGCCTGTRGTGGTGGGGAGGGAGAGGGAGGTTCAGCATTGTGTTTCCACTCTACAATATCTTTTACCTTCCCCCAGATTAGCCAGACACCTGCAAAAAGAGGCCCAGGCTCAACACAACAACTCGGAGTTCACAGAGGATCAGAAGGTAGGTGGGCATTGCCCCTCGCTCCAGCCGCCAGCGCCTCCCCGAGGTGCCCGTGTGCGTTGTGGTTCTTTGTGCCTTGCAGACCTGAGTGTTAGACCCGTCTTTCCTCCCTCCGAGCCCAGTGTGGCTGAAACGGTTGTTATCATTAGATGTGAYAGATGCTCTGCTGTGTAATGTTGCATGTCTTGTGTGCTATCTGCAGTCCTTCATAACCTGGGTTTTTCTTTATTGGAGTGACCTCTCGATAATTTATTTATACAACACTAGCACAATTTATGCTGTGAGGTCTAAATACAAAATGTCTTGAACTGCAGACATCCATGGTGTGTGTGGAGGCTTCTACCTTAACACTTGACTGGGAAGGGCCCTGGCAGAAGCCTCCCTGTTAGCCTCTTACGATGTTATTTGTTTATAATCTCCAAAAATTTTCAAATGATTTTAGTCCTTCCTCTTTCCCTCTGCTGAAAAGGCTGTTTCTTGTCTCCGCACCATGTTGATACAATTCTGTGACAGGATTTAAGAGAAAAATGCTTATTGAGTTCTCACACTCTCAAACATATTCAGTGGAATGAACAAAATTGTTTATGAAATGAATCCCTGATAAATTTTAGTGTGTTTCATAAAGGTTTTTCTGAGGAATCCCTAATTAGAAAGTGCGTATAATCTCAGATTTCTAAATAAGATCACCTGTTTGAGAAATGGCATTACTTGCAGAGTGACATTTTCTGGCCCGGAATCCCAGATATCCCAGTAGGGTGCTATGGTAATGGGATTTGTGTTGGGAAATGTCTACCTTGAAAAAAATGTCTTGGCTACAGAAGTTGGAGATGAGCTGAATGTGTTTAAAAATTTGTCTGTGCAAAAAAAATTCCTTTATGTAGAGCCTGATAGTAATTTGTAACTGTTTCCTTGACAGCTACCAATAAAAAAGCAAAGAAAAGGCATTCCATATTTTTGCAAAGAATAGGATTAAGGTCAGGATGCACCTAAGCAATCAAAATCTTGCAGAAAGACTGGGACCACTTTTCCTGAGCAGGAGCTTTGTTAACGCGGAGCAGCTCTTTGCTTTTTGGTTGTTTCTGCTCTCTCCCCTTGGTGACACGTTCCTTCATCATCATCATCATTTCTAGTAATTTTTGCTTCTCTGTGAATGCAGAAGTAACTGCTCTCTGGTGCAAGATGCATCAGAGCGGTGGTTATATAGTGTGAGCCTGCATTAAGGTGACAGTCATCTTAAAAGAAAAATATAGTTAGCTTTTTTTGAATCCCTGTTTCTCAAGCRGATACCGCTTAAAGAAGAGGTTGACTATTAGATGCATCATTTGCTTTTTGGTGGRTCAGAAAGGGGCAGATGCACCTGATTTTCTAACAGCCTTTCTTTTGAGCCTYACTCTCAAACGGCAATGCTTATTTTATGAGCCATGTACACAGCCAAAGTCCTTAACTTCCTGTGAGATGTTTAAGTAACAGCATTTTCTTCTCCTCTCCTAGCAATAGCAATGGTGGTCACAGCAAAAATGAGTCCCATTGCTGCTTACAGAGAACCACTTTACACTCCAAATTGCAAAATCTTTAAGTCTGACATTAAGCTTCTTGCTCTCTAGCCTTTCTTTTCCTAATATCTTGTCATTTCCAGATACTGTTTGTCATAAGAGCCACCTCTTTGTTTTCCTGCAGGCAGATTAGTGTGTTCCCCTTGGTGTTTGTTCCTGTGATTTCGCTGCTTCAAACCGAGCACAGAATTTCATGGATTGGGGAAGGGAGATGGCCAGATCATGCAGCTAATTATAATTCTATTGACCTGCTCACCTTGCAGTGTAGGTATAGATACACAGGCAGCTGCTTCCTAAAGGAGCCCTCACACTGATGATAGTTACTGGGAAGCTGTCCTTGTTTCTAACTTAATGTACCATGTGGGGAAGATGGATCTAGGCAGAGGCTGCTCTGTTCCAGGGAAAACTGCTCTCTGCTGCAGGGAAAGGAGAAGGTGAGGTTTAAATTCTCARCCCTGTCTCTCTTGACAGGCTTTTAACATGTTAAGATTATTTTATCTCGTAGGTATTACAGTGCAGTTTACAGCCACATGCTAATTGATGGTGTATTACTTGCTAATTTAATTATGTTCTCTGTTAATTCAACAACTCTTAACAGGTGCCCCAGAAACCTTCTCAGGCATAAGCAGTGTGAACCAGTTGCCACATACCTTACAGTAAATGTATATAGTCCAGGGTAATGATGTAAACTTTTGAATATTCATGCATTTTTACATTTTTGCAATTGATCTGATGAGTGTTTTGAAATCTTGTGCCCTGCTTCCCTGGGTAGGGGAGAGTGGTCTCCGGAATTCAGAGCTCGTTCCTGGGTTCTCAGCTTATGGGGGCTTGTCTGTCTGCTTGTGTCTGCTGCCGGATGTGATTCCGGTGCCTGAGTCCTTAGGGAAGGTGGTGTCATGCCTTGGATAATTGTCAGTTTCGGAGTCTTCATTAATGATTATGAGCTTGGTTGAAGGCTGCACAGAAATGCCCCAAATAGCAAATCATTGTTTGAGCTTAAATCTATTCACTCTGCAGAGGTTTTAAGGAGACTGTGCAACACTTTCTCATCATCTAGAGACTCCCCGTGTGGGATATTAGCAGGAGATTGTTACTGGMAGACTTAGCTCAGCCTTAACATGTGCATCCCACCTTTCTTTGTTTCACCTTCGTTCTCCAAATGATCCTCCTTGATCATCCTTTGTATTTTGCCTTGTGAATCGATCCACTCAGGTCTGGCGAGGTTGTCAGCTTGCCTGCAGCTAGGGTTCTTCTCACCCAGTTCTGCACACAATGAATGGGACCCTTAAAGCCCTCTGCTAACCACAAGTGTTGCTTCTCGCATATATTTTTTTTTGTATTAAGCTAGTATTTAAAAATGGTGCGTTTTGTGCAATGGCAGCTTGCTGAAATAATAGCATTGCTGTATAGTCTTAGTATGATTCATTAAACTACTGGTCTCCTAACAGTCTAGACCTCTCTTTAAMGCCAAACTCTGCCCTGGCTCTGTATTTGTGCAAGCGTCTTTGCCTGCATTACAGTTAGCACAGTCATTACTCACACAACTGCCCTGAAGAAGCTTTGACTACAAGATGAAATGCCTTTTTCCCTTTCAAATCGCTAGTTTATGTAAAACTGGGCCTTAACTATTTTAAACTAGCAAAATTAATTGTAATCTCGGGCCTTCTAATGAAATGCAGAATGTTTTCCCCGCTGGAAAAAGAGCCCTTGCATGGGATAGCTGCAGCTGAAAATGATAGCAGTGTTTAGCTGCATTTTTAACTTTTGGGTTGGGTGTGGTCCCTTAAAAAAATAGTTATGAATAATGCCTGCTGGGAGCTTGCCATATTTCAATAGATTCCATATAAAACCTATTCTTTGCTATTTTAAGACTCCCAAAGTCTCTTCAATTAATGTGTTTCTGGAGGCATTTCTGCTCTCCAGTCCCCGGGAGCCAAAGGACACGCACTTTGCATCGGTGTCAGTCCTGTTACAAGGTTCCTAGTTGGGGCAAATTTAAGAACACCAAGTTAAGAATCAGCAGGACAGGGGCATCCCTGAGCTTATGGGTGAGTTAACATTGGAGGCAGGAGCTGAGCAGCATTTTGTGAGACCTCACGCACAGCGTGGGCTTAATGCCCCGTGCGTGAGACGGGGCCAGGAGGAGCAGCGTGGAAGTGTGTGCACACTCCCGCTCGGGCTGTGCGCTGGCTCCTGGCAGGCTTGGAGCCCCTTTCCTCCGGCTGGGGGTTGTGATCCAGCAGGGAACTGGCCCACTCTTGGCTCACCAGTCGACACCCAACCCGCAGGAAGAGCTGGGTGTTTGTAAACGTTAGAGCGGCAGCGAAACTTCAGAGGTTCCTCCTCGCTTCCCAAGGGAGCTCCCTCTGTGGAGTCCTCCTTTGTACTCATTGCTTCACATCCCCTTCTTTAAGGCTCTACCYTTGCAAACACACCTTCCAGATGCTTTCAAATATAGGAAGGGATTTCTTGTGTTAAACTGTGGCTGATCACAAGGATCTAGTGCATTCTCTGTCTGTGGACTGAGAATTAGCTTCTGTGGTCCTGCCTCCCACAAAGCCTGCATCTGCAAATGTGTCAAAGTGAAACCAGGGCTCTATGTGCTCCTTTCCTTTTCAAAAATCATTGTTTCCTCACACTGTGCTGGAGATCCAGCTGTGGATCTTTGTTACGTAGCAGGAATTATTCCAGGCAGGCAGAAGTTTGTTAATTGGACCTAGACTGGAAAAAAAGTGCACAGAAATGCAAACCTGTATTATTTTTTACTGTGCCCCGTTGCATGCAGACGTGCATGCAGTCGTGTTGCTCGGTATCAAGATTCCCAGACAACGCACACGCTGCATCCCAGGGAGGGCAGAGCACCGAGTGTGCCCTSTGCTGGGACACAGCACCTGCTCTCTTGGAAGCTACTCACAGGAACTGAAATTTCGAGGACCTGCATACAACGGACAGGAATGTAAACTGCAAGGATGCAAAGTTTGGGCTACTGCCGTGCTGTAAGCGAGCGCTTAAAGCCAGAGAGAGCAGCTGGGCAGAAGTGGCTTTGAGGGCTTGGTGGGCCTGTGATGCACATGGGGTGTCTGAGGCTTTCGCACACCCCAGCTTCACCTGTGAGGTGCTGCTGTCTGATGTGCTCGTGAATCAGCTCCTAAGCTCTCTCAGCCTTCAGTGCCTAAGGTGAACTGTAGCTGGAGCCTCTTAGCTTCCAGCCTCTACGCTGAGGGTACCGGTGGCCAAGGGGTTGATGTGGACACGGTTCTGACAGGGCCTTGCCGGAGAGTGAGGGCAGGYGGCTGTGGAAACAGGCACATTTTTGCCTTTAAAAGAAGAGAATGAGTTTCAGGTGCATATTTCAGCTTTTATCTTCCTACCGGGGGAAAGCTTTGAAAATGAACTACTTTTTAATAGCTTCATTGTTGTTATTTTTTCATGCCCAGTAAATATGCTGCAAAAAAAAAAGGATTTAATTTTGGCTTCACCTGGGCAGATCAGCATTTTTTTTTTCGCTATAGCGTTTTATTTGGATACATCTGTGATACTCAAGCAAGTTGAAAGTTGCTGTACCATTGTGTCCATTTGCTGTGAATTGTAGACATTGTAATTCCTCCAGACCTTTTAGTAGTAGAACCTAGACAGCAGATAGTAGTAGAACCCAATTTGACTGCTGCTTGGAGCTCTTACTCTGTGAGACATGAGACCTTCAGTAGCACTGAGCTCAAAGCAGATGTTCAGAGAATGGCTGTCCTGAAACCCTTCCCTTTCTTCTACACTTTAAAATACAAACACAGAGTTATGTCACAGTTCTGTTAAGGGATTGCTGACAAGTTTGAATCAAAGAAGTTCTGTTTTATGTTTCATTCAGAGTTGAGATGTCTCCAAAATTTAGAAAAATATCACATTAGAAAAATAATTCCTTTTCTACGTCCTTTCCCGCAAAACCCCTCAAAAGTGGCTGTGTTTTATTCAGTGCTAGGATACTGGGCATCTGTAGCTTCTGGGGAGGGCTGACTTGCTCTGCTAACACTATAAACTAGATAAGTGAAATGTAGGCATGATTCCTGAAAGGGCAGATTAAAACAAACCACTCAAGTTCTCTGAAGCTGGAATACCGACTTGTTTTCATTCTTTATTTTCTTTACTTTTCTGTTTTTTTGGCTGTCCTCTATCGCTTCTGAGTACTTGAGTACTTGAGTTAATAAGCAGTTTATGATGGGCAAGCATTATTGTCGTTTCTGCTGAGTGGACAACTTCCATCTGTGTCCATGAACCATGAGGAAGGGAGTTCAGTGGCAGATATTTCACTTACAACTAGTGCCCTTTCAGTAAATCTTGCTTATGTATAAAAAACCTTTTGTTGTTGAGTGATCTCTTACTGAATAATAGATTTGAAAACTTTGCAGGAAAATAACGATCGTTCATATTTACATTTTTTTTCAGAAAAASAATGTCAATATGGACAATGCAAATTCAGTATTAATTTATTCTTTTTTTTTTCCTTTCAGAAAACCATAGCTAAAATTGCAGCATGCTTGGAACTGAGAAGCGCGGCTTTGCAGGTATAAGCTTTTTCCCATGTGATTTCATCCTTTAGACACAGTAGTGCCTTTTTGTTTGTTTTTTTTCCTAAAGCTTGCTTAGTATCTTTAGATATAGCCAAAACTTCTGAAAACTATTTGAGTGACCCCTTCAATGCCTGCACTTTACAACTTGTCAACGTAATTCCCCAGGTGGTTGCCTAAGGATCTTTGTTTTAAAGTTTGTATAGGAATGAAACCGCAGCTTTTTGTGCCTCTGGTTCTTTGTCTCATTTTCCTCCTGCAGAACCAATTAGTTCTCTCTTGAGCCCGTATGCAAGAGTAGGAAGATCCTCAGAGTGACCCTTGTGCAATCCAGGCCATTCACAAGCCATGAATTGACCCCAAGTGTGGTAGCTGGGGTTACTCCATCAGCTTTTTCCCTGTGAAAGGTGGTGACAGGCAAGTTTTGCCCCAAATTGCTCTCAGCAATAGCTCTGACTACTCTGTGTTGCTGTTTGAGGTCAGCTCCAGGGGCTGACCAATCTAAATGCTGTGCAGCATCTAGGTCCAGAAGCATTTTGATCCAGGCTGAGGTTTCTGAACAGTAGCACGTTTGTTCTGAGCCACAGTGGTTTTGTGACAAGGGCAGACCCTCAACTGTGAGACAGTTTAATAAGTCAGGTCACTTCTGAGAGCAACAGCTGATAATGCTGAAACACCCAGAGCAGCTGAACTGAGACACCATGTCTCATAAGAACAGTCTTCCCTGTTGCTAATTAGGTAATGTAGCTTTATTCAGAGTATTCTATTATTCTTTTTATTAATGGAAAAAATGTCTCCCAGTGATTTGGGTGTTCTCTTTTTAAGTTAGATGAAATGGAAGCCCCTCCTGACCTTCCGTGGAGAAAAAAAACAACAAAAAAAGACATGTTGTTTGTTTTTGGTGACACTGGCTTTTCCAGACTCACCCTTTCCCCAGTTGAGGCTTTTGCCAAGCGAGTCACTCTTCCCTCAGCAATAGCTCAAAGATTTTATAACCTTCTGTGTGAACTAGAACTTCTCATCCACTTCCCTTTGAGAGGCATTTTACATGCTGTAGTTTTGTCATGGTTTCTTAGCAGGGTTCGATTGTGGCCATCCTTTACTGTTGGTCTAGCTGTATGCAGGTATGCACTGTTCTGTAATCATATTTGCTCTCTTGTTGACACCTAGACAAGATCCAGAGAGCTGTCAGGCCTTAAAGAAGTGATGGAAACAAGAGGTAATCCTGAAAGATGCTGAGGGTCCAATTAGATAACTGATAATCCTCTGCCAAAAAGAGGATGTCTAGTGTCAGTCTCCTTATTTACACTGTTTTTGTTATGCTGTCTCTACCACTCTATCTTTAAGATAGGCAGGTTCAGCTCTCTAAATTGTCAGCGAACTTGTTCAGGAGAGAAAGTTGAATAACTTTTATGTAGAGGTAGTAATTCTATGTGTAGTGAAAACGAAAGATCAACTAGTTATTTTAAAAACACTTGCCCTGTGTTGGAGCTTGGAATTTCAGATAAATTTGTTGTCAGTATGTGAAAAGTAACGTATTTTCTGCCTCATCTGTGAGCTTAGTCTCTCTTGGGAGGTTTTTGTTTGGGATTTTTTGATGGCATAGCTTTGAAGTAGCTTGGTATACTTGAACTGAGGACATGCCTAATGTGCTTTTTAAGAGATACGGTAGCTTTTTCTAGGGAGGGAAGTGCATACCAAATTCTGACTCTTTCTTTGTGATGTCCTAGTCCACACAGTCGCAGGATGAATTTAAACTTGAGGATCTGAAGAAGTTGGAACCAAGTAAGTAATATCTTTGTATTTTAAGTGAGTGACATTTATCATTGCAGTGAAAAATCTGACAGTGTCATTAATACTGACTGACCACAGTGTGGTTGGACAGTAATGCTGGTTTTAGGTGGTTCTTCCAAATATCTGCTACTAAAGAGACAAGACTTGACATGCATTAAGGAATGTAATGTGGATATTTTTGAAGTAGAGTAGTACTAACGTCTCTAATATATTATTTTTTTCTCTAACTTCATTAATTCTTTGCATATTATTGTTACAGAGAATAGTATTTTAAGCTGTCAGAACTGCAATGTTAAATCAGATGTAATCTATGGAATTTGACCTTTATCTCCGTATTACTTATCTGAACAGAATTTCAACACTTCGTGGTCTTCTTACTTACAACATCAAATGTGTTCTCCTTTTAAAAGTATTTAATGTGCACTCATTGTAGCCAATCACCTGTCACCTACCACTAGAGTAATGAAGTTAGAGCCTAACTAAGGATGTGAGTCAGTCTGTTTTGAAATGTCAATCCCAAAATAACTTTGATGTAGGAAATATATTTATCTGGTAAATTCTCTTTCTGATAACACAGGTTATTTTATTTTCAAAGCATGAAAATACTATGAAAGATCTTCCCTATGATCAGATCTTCCTAATCTAAATAATGTTATCCTGAATGTTTTAACCTTGGGAGGGTAGGAAATGTGGAAGAGCTTCTTTCATTCTGCAAGAAAGGAATTATGTCTTCCTTGAAATGCATCCTTTTGGGCTTTTTAATACTTTGTTTAAAAGTTAAATCTTACTCAGGCCAACACCATCCTTTTCATAAAATATTACTAGGAGGTGTTTCAATTATCATTTTGTCAAGTTCTTCTTACATCCTGCCAAAATAGGCCAAAAACTCCAGACTGACAATGCAAATCARTGATTCTTCTGTAAGGCCAAACCAGTCTGTTAGGATGGAATTAAAAGAACTGTTCACATAAAATGTGTTGTTTTAATTACTGTTGTGTGCCAGATTTTCAAAATGGCTGAGAAATTTGGTTTTGGTGGTATTATAACAACCAGGATGCTTAGATTTTTTTCATTTTTTTCCAGTGTTATAAAGCCCTAATAGTTTTTCTACTTGTTAAGCTTGCATTTTATGCTTCATGTGAAGTAGAACAGTTGTTGAGTTTTGTTTATTTTTAGGATTTGTCACTAAATCTCTTGTGCTAGAATAATGCTGTGGAAGGGTTCATACAAATAGCTATTTTGGGAATGCTCTGTGTGAGAACATTGCTGGTACCCTGGATCGTGCAAATGCTTTCTGTGTGAAAGCTTATGCTGGTGTTACTACACATTAGAAATAGACGGGTTGTGATGGCCCATATACCACTCCTGGCTTTCATGTACCAGTGGCATGGAGCGGGTCCAGCAGTGATCTAGCTGGAAACCACTGTCTTGCTGCCAAGCCAGCTTGGTGTCCCCCRTGAGACTTAAAGCTCAGCAAGGGTGCAGTTTGGACCATGAATTCACAGCAAGGATGGACTGTCCCTTCTGCAGCAGCCACCACATGAAGAGTAATTTTATGACTGCCAAGAACCATCTAAGAGTCTGTGCTCAAAAGTGTGGCAATTCCAGCCCCTGAGTGACCAGTCCTAAAGCTCTTCGAGTGTGTGACTGTATTACATGAGAAATGAGGCCTGAATTAATTTGCCTATAATTTACTTATTATTCAGGAATATCCCATAGGCTGTCACGAACAAAACTAAATGGGCAGTGGTCTTTGTCTAATGAACACTTAATGGTCATCTTGCTCGTGCTGATAGTCGCATTCGACATCTTTGAAGAAAAAAACAGCTGCTCATTTAAAAGTAAAAATCAGATAGCAACAATAAAAAAAAAAAAAAAAGTGGTATTGTCCAGCATGACAAAAGAAATGTCATTATTGCAAAGGTAGCTTCTGCATATAAGCTTGCTGAAAAGCCTTTGGGAACAGCTTCTCCTGGAAAAGCCAACGTAAATACAGGACACGTTCCTGGGGATCTGCCTTTTACTTCTGACCTCGGAGCCAGTGGTGTGGAGAGCTCCGTGAGGTTGGGTTCTCAGCGGTGTTCGTGCTCCTTCCCCAAGTGGAGAGGTGTGCACAGACGAACAAAAATAATGGAAAAAAAGTTCATAAGTTTGGGTATCTCTTGCAATGTATCAACAGAGAGACTTAAGCATTATAACCTAGTGTTATAAACCAAATGTTTTTCTTCTGTCTGGTTATTTTATTTTAAATAATTGGAATTCTGATTTGTGATAGGTGAAAAAAGATTTTCTTTTCTAAAATCTGATCAAAAAGAGTGTTTTTTGCATTGTTTTTGCATAGGTTAGCTTTATTCTGAGTGCCTTTGACCAGGTATTTCCTCAGAGTGAAGGCTGCAAATTCAATACTTGTCTCTATTTGCATGTTTAAAAGTGGCACATTTGATAAACCGTATTAGTAAGACTTGGCAAAATTATTTTCTATTGATAATTAAACAGTGTGTACACATAGCACGGAGCTGAGACAGTAGGAAGTCCTTGAGGAAATGGAGCTGTGGGCTTTCTCTGTGTTTCTCCTTTTGCTAGAATATGTTGTGCCCTCTAGTGATGACTGGTGTGGATTCCTGGGAGGCTTTTGCAGAGGGAGCCTGTCCACAGGACTGCAGAAGCTGTGGCTGGAAAGCGAGGAGGTGCTGGCGCCCGCCAGGCAGCACAGGGGCAGGAGGAGGCCCTCTAACTCACCTTGCTGCTTCATAACCTGCCTGTGCTCCACAAGCCACTTTGAGGTCTTGATTTTTATTTTGGGGGCAGTTTCACTTTCCTTCTCTAGCATGGTACAGCTCTCCCAAGCTAGGGGAATTCTGAGTGATAAAAATCCCCTTCTTTTTCTGAACCTCAAGCTGCCTCTGCTGTTGATCAGCTGCTACCCTTCTGCGAGGTCTCAGCATATGGGGATCTCCACTCATGATCCTGCATGGTAGGAGCCTCCTGGAGAGGAAGAGGTTTGGCATTTTTCAATGTGCCACCTGTTACATCTCTGACAATGCAGCTTAAAGCATTCTATATATCTCTGCACTGTGCCCAGAGAGAATTAAGCAGCTACCTGACCTCTCACGTGGTGGGAAAATACAGAAATCAAACAGATGTGTTTGGTGTACAATGTATGGAAAGTTTGATGTACAATGTACAGAAAGCACAGAAAAAAAAGGAGTGTGAGCAAAGACGGAAAAGATCTCGTATATTCATAGGTGTCCAGGTGGGTTCTCCATTCTGTGGAGGGTTTGAATGGTGTCCTGTAAATTCATGATGATGCCCTCTGAATGATAAAGAAATACAGAGAGGTCTCCCTGTAGCCCACCTGAAGCCTGGCTGAATTTGTGCTGTGACACTGAAGTGTCTAGCAGTGATTGCACAAATGTACTGGCTTTTTCATACTTAGGAGTATTTGTATTAACTCAACCAAAATGTTTTAATATAGTGTTAATCAGCCAGAATGCATAGGAGGGGATTTTCAAAATCTGCTATGAGAGGACTTGTTGCAAAGTGAGACTCCGTGAGAGGACCTGGCTTTTTCCACTCCTCACTTCTGGTGATCTCAGGTACTCACAGGACATTGCCTCCTCCCTAAGCTCTCTTACATTTTTAGGTACTTTAACCTAAAATGATGGCTAGACAAATACTGCTGAGGAGAAAGGAGGAACATGACCCTCTTAGAAGTCATTAAAAACTGAATATTGAATAATTACAGAACAGTTCTGCGTTCCCTGCATCCCTGGACTTTGGCAGCTGCCATTTGCATGTGCAGCCTCTGTGTGAGCTTATGAGGGCCTGTTCTGCGGCGTTCAGTCTTTTTGGAGCTGATGCCAGTAACAGCACCACCCTGCTTGGAATAGCCACCAAGGGTTGTGCTACCACAACCCCCGGGGCAGTCACCTTTCCTCATGATGCTTTTAGCTACTGCCATGTTTGTCTTCCCTGACCGTGCCAATGTGGTAGGGATTGTGTAGTGGCATTGCAGTTAGCCACTCTGAATGCTGTAGTGAATTGAAGTTTTGGGTTTTTTTTTTTTTTCATGATCTGATGTTTTTGTCGAGATGTCATAAAATGAACATGTCTGTGCAAAGTGATGAAATAAATCCTGATATTCAGATATGGATTCTTAGCAGCTTTTTCTTTTTTTTCTTTTTCCTCTCTACAGTCTTAAAGAATATCCTCACTTATAATAAAGAATTCCCCTTTGATGTTCAGCCTGTCCCACTCAGGTAAGAGGACGGCATCCATGGRTATAGAGATAAGTGTCTGAAAGGGAGCTTGGTCTGTTACCAGTGCACATTTGAAACATGAACATTTCTAGTGTCACATGCTGATTGCTTTTGATAAAGGGCAGTTTAAGAATAAACTTATTAATTCTCTTTATCTTGATACCGTTAAGAATGAAAACCTTGCTCTTTGTAGTAGATAGGCAGATAGGTGTGTCTGAAATTACAACCTTTTTTGTATACTCTGCTTATGTGGTGTGGGCTAAGCTCCTGCAACCTCACCCAGGGTGCATAGTTCCGCCAGGTAGCTAATTAGAAGCATGAGATGACATTAAAGTAGGCTACTTCATCTCTTCCCTGACATACTGACTTGGCCAGATGCTAAGTCTCAATCTCCAGTCTCACTAGTTTTTTTAAAAAAATATATTACAGGAAGATATTAGCACCTGGAGAAGAAGAACATTTGGAATTTGAAGAGGATGATGAAGAAGGAGGAGCTGGGGCAGGATCTCCAGAAGCTTTTCCTACTAGAGTTCCAGGTAGGAACATTAGCCTACATAATATATTAATATATATAAGATGTGTTTCTGATATATATATATATATATATACACACATATATATGTATATATATCATGATATAGAGGTAAAATCATGAGTTAAGTCAGGTAGTTGAAACAATGAGATAACGACAAGAAAAAGAGATAGGCTTTAGGTTTGGCCAGGAAAGTGAAATACAGTGGTTTAAAAGGGAATGCAAAATAACATGAGAGGCTCCAACTAGATCACTTAAATGACAAAGAATATCATTGGCAGGCAAGTGCGTATAGTAGGGAAAGTGTCTCACCAGACAAAATACAGTGTCTAAGATCATGAATATTGGATAGGTGAGGAGTGGCCACAAGAGAAGTGGTGATGCAAAGTGAATGCCGAACAGAAAAAGAGGCTCCACCAAGATCCATCTCAGGAGCAGCTTTGCCTTTTGGTCCCCAGCGCACCTGCTGTACTACTAGTCTTTCCACACCGAAGCCAATTTCTAGGGCTAAGGAATTAGTCAAGGCAGGATCCGTAAGTAGAGAGGGGTTGCAAGAACTTCGGAAAGGAAAATAGGGTCTTCACGAACATCCCCAAGACTTCGAACGATGCTTTGTGGCCCCCAGTGCACCTAATGTGTGGAGGGTGGTTCTGCACGAGAGTTGGTGGCTAGGGCTAAGATGAACATAAGCAAATTGCTAAAGGCTTGAGTGGCATTCCATGAAATTTGTGAAAGGAAAGAGGAGACTCCACCAAGATCCCTCCAAAAAGCAGTTTTACCATTTCACCCCCAGTGCAACTAGTGTATAGAGGATCTTTCCACCCTACACTTAGGGTTAGGGTTGAGAGAGTAGTAATGGCAGGAGCCCCAAGTAGAGTGGTATTGCAAAGAGCTTGAAAAAGGAAACCTGAGGCCACAACAAGATCCTTTCCAGGAGCAGTTTTGCTTCTTGACCCCCAGTGGCCCTAATATATTAAAGGTCGTTCAATGGCAGAGGTGATTTCTAGGGTTAGGGTTAGGGTTTCGAGATGGATAAGGGCAGGAGGCCCAAGTGGGGCGACGTTTGAAAGAGCTTGGGMAAGGAAATCTGGGAGTCTACCGAGATCCCTTCCAGAAACAGTTTTGCCTTTTTGAGCCCCAATGACCCTACTATATTAAAGGTCGTTCAGTGGCAGAGATGATTTCCAGCGTTAGGGT